TGTCCTTATGCTTCTCTGGATTTTCTCAGCTGTTTTTATGTCTCCTTTTCATTGCTATATTTTTAATTTAGATATTCCGTCTCTGCCTTTTAGTTACTTTGGATAAAGCCTTGTTGTTCCTATTGATTTTTTCAAAAAACAACAACAACAATATCAACTTTGTTTTATTGATTCTTTGTATTGTTCTTTTTTATTCTATTCTATTCTATTCTATTCTATTCTATTCTATTCTATTCTATTCTATTCTATTCTATCCTGATCTCAGTTCTGAGTTTGACTATTTGATTATTTACCATCAAGTACTCTTGGGGGTGATTACTTCTTTATGTTCTTTAAGTTTCAGGTGTGCTATTAAGTTGGTACTATGAGATCTCTTCAGCTTTGGATTTGTTTTATATGTACAGACTCAGTGCTATGAACTTATCTCTTAGAACTACTTTCATTGTGTTCCATAAGTTTGGGTATGCTGTGTATTCATTTTCATTGAATTCTAGAATTCAGTAGAGACTTGGTCAGTTACAATGAGTTTGTAAGGTTTCTTTTTTTTTTTTATCCAGCTTTAATCTGTGGTGGTCTGATAGAATGCAGGGTGTTATTTCAATTTTCTTGTATCAGTTGAGACTTCCTTTGAGTCTGAGGTCAGTTTTCAAGACAGTTCTGTAAGGTACAGAAAAAAAAGGTATATTCTTTTATGTTTGGGTGAAATATTCTTACAGATTATTTTTTTTAAATGAGAACAAAAATGTCCTCAATTTAGTTATTACTATATGAGATTAGGATTAGAAATTTCTCACATGAAATCTTTTAAAAGATATGGTTTTACTTATTCAACCAACATCTGTGTTTTGCTGAATGTGTGCTCTGAAGTGTGGAGAGAGCCTGGGAAGCCTGTTTAGTCTGGTTGGGCTTGTGGAAATGATGTGAAACCATCTGACTATGTACTCCACATGCTTATATAAACACTGTAATGTCCTGTTCTTATCCTGGACAAGGAAAAATCAAGTACTCCTTCAAATGGTGGTGGCCTAGCATAACATGGAGGAGAACTAGAGATGACTGGTTAGGGAAAAGGAAAATTCAAAGATCATCACCTGTGAGCAAAGCCACAGAGGAGAGAATCAGTCTCAGATCACAGGAAAATGGAGTGTGCAAACCAAAAGCAGTTTAACTGCTAGGTTAGATATTCTGGATCCCTCTCTTTGCACTTGGGAGCTAGTTACAAATATGAAGAAGACTTTAAGGGCTTATTTAAAGTCAACATTGTCTTCTGTTTAAGTGTTACTCAAATTTTCATGAGAGTTGAAAGTGTTCCTTGGGAGCCCCTGACTCTGCTATTCATCTCAAGTGATCTTTAACATTTTTTTCTTTTTTTGTTAGACAAGTATTAGACCAGTGGTGCCCAGTATTCTCTGGGCAATAGACATCACTATATTTGAGGGCAATTCAGTGTGGAGAAGGGGGATTGGAGGATGAAGATCTCTCTCTCTCTCTCTCTCATTAACATATGCCTACTGTTTAATCCCATGATTTGGCTGATACTCCTCCTTAAGACATAGAGCAGTGTGTTTCAATGCTTTAACCACATACTTCCATTCAGTGACAACAACAACTTCAATTACAACTTTCCACATGGTGCCATAGAATCCTGAAACCCTGCTGGATTTTTTCTGTCATGGACAGTCAAGATCTTTTCTTTTGGTAGTGTAATGAAGGTGAAGTATTGTTGCAATCTACAGAATGATAGTATTCAATGTATTTGTCCAATTAAAAGTGGAAAACAGATTAGGGCTGGTTTGGACAAGTACACTGGATCTTATAGCCTAGCCTAGTGGAAGGCAATACAAATGCAGGTCCCAAGGTCCCGGATGTTGGCCTACATAGATGGACAGAGGGCTTATGCTGGAGCCTCTTTGCTCTGCTTCTTCCCATGATGCTTCCTTCCTTTAGTCTTAGTCTGTGCTTGGTAGCTCTGTGAAATGAAAACAGTAACATCTATATCCTACAGGGTTTGCTTGAAGATAAACTAGTTATCTTTTCCATGAACCTGGAGCACTGTCTGGCAATTAATAAGTTCATTTTTCTTCATTGTGATGTAAATATCCAGTGCACAATTGATAACTGAGTATTTATTTACTTAGTAGATAAAAAATGGGAATAGTAATGGAGGAGAATTGTGCTAACGGTACATTTTTTGTTTATGGTACATGCTACCAATACAAACCACATACAAACAATATACATGTAGCACATACACTCACATGCCACACATATAGGGCACACATGGCCTGTATAACACACATACACCAAACTTACACACACCACATCCATGCATCATAATAAACACCATAAAAATGTACCTCCACATACATGCCACATATAGTATTCACATGCATCATGTATATAGATATAACAAAAAAATACATTATGCATACACACACATACATACCACATCATGTGTGAACCATACTTCTGTATACATCATGGACATGTGTAGGTACCCCATGTACCACACATGCACAGTACATAAGCATACATCATACTTGTGTCACAAACATATATACATATATTATATATTATTATATACCACACATATTTATACTCCTCCATACCAGACACATGTGTCACATTCATATATATGTATATGTATATGTATACACATAAATATTTCTAGCACATAGCACAGGTACCATACTGCAACCTGAAACCATGTGCATTTTGAGATGAAGGTATACTCTATCTCATCCTGTTCTTGTTACATACTCTTCTGTGTATTCTTCCTAAGTGAGTTCTTGACATCACAGCAAGGATTCACCATTAGCTGCTCTCTAAACAAAGTCTGGAAGCAAAGTCCTATGAAGTGTTTTGGCAAGGACAATTTGAAGAGTTCAAATGGTTTTGAATATTGGTTCACTCAAAAAAAATCTGTGGTTCAGTAAATTGAGCCCAACCTGTGTGGAGTGTCCTGTTGGGCCACATACACTGATGTAGAATTTCCTGAGAATAGTCCCTAATTAGGATGCTGGGGTCAGAAAAGCACAAAACTCAGAAACAGTCAGTTCTGAGGAGTAGAGCTTCCAATGATGCTAGGGAAAGTAGGATGAGTGGCATTGCTGAAGTAGGCTGACAGAGGTCAAGAGAAATCTTTTGACACAACTTTTTAAGTCATGTTAAATGGAAGCCTTTGGCCATATTTGTTAATGCAAAATGTAAGACTTAGGAGATCTGCATATTATGTATACAGTTAAGAGTCTTGCTACTTTGGTTGTATTGAGAGATCTTACCTGTCACTATTTGGCACACTTGAGGAGTCAAGTCCCCATAACTCTGGTATATTTTCACATAGATCTAAAGCCTACCTTGAACACTGAAATCCTAGTCATTTTCACGGTGGTTTCTTTAAGTGAATTTGAATATCTGTGGTGATATTGTGTTCCCTAAAATATTGTACAGCCTAATAAACTTATCTGGGGTCAGAGAACAGAACAGACACTAGATATAGAGGCCAGAAAATGATGGCACACAAACACACCATTAATCCTAGGCAGAGATCTGTCTGGATCTCTGTGAGTTCAAGGCCACACTGGAAATAGCCAAGCATTGTGCCACATACCTTTAATCCCAGGAAGTGATGGCAGGAAGCAGAAAGGTATTTAAGGAGTGAAAATCAGGAACTAGGCCTATTAAGCTTTTAGGCTTTTGAACAGCAATTCAGCTGAGATCCATTTGGATGAGGACACAGAGGCTTCCAGTCTGACAAAACATGATCAGCTGAGGAACTGGTGAGGTGAGGAAGCTGTGGTGTGCTCTGTTTCTCTGATCTTTCAGCATTCACCCAAATACCTGACTTTAGGTTTGATTTTAGTAATAAGACTCTTTAAGATTCATGCTACATATATCCTCTGTTAAAACATCTGAACAATTTGATGTGTAAATACTACCTTTGAGATCATCCGATTAGATTCACTCTGTCTGTAGGTAGATTTTGTAAGTGGAGGGGGAAAGCAAACATGTTTTCTTCCATGTCAGGGCCTCTGAACTACACAGCAAAGCCCTCTGGGGATGGTGACTGTGGTTTCCATTGCTGGTCACAACAGTTTATACTGGTCAAATGTTAGTAGACTCTGGCCCATAAGAGGTCTTGTTCTAAAACTCAGTGGGTGACCTGAGATCTGCAAGGTGACCACAATCTTGGATATGGTGCCATGTCACTTATAGAGAAGCATGTGTATGTAGAATTGGAAAACTACTCTTTCAATAGTTGGGAAGAAAATAAGGCCTACATGACAAAGTAAATACTCAAAATTTATGGAAGAATAGAAATTCTTGGTGGACTTGGATGAAGTTATCCAAGAAACTGTCCCCTGGTCAGAATGGAGTAACTCAGCCTCAGCAATTGTACTGACTTTCAGAAATCCATAATCTTTGGCTTTCTTCCTGTTGTCAGAGATCTTCAACTGCTTACCCCCTGAGATGCATAATCCAGTGTAAAATGAAGGAGTACATGACTAGGTCAACTGTCTCTGGGTATATGTCTGAGGAGGGAAAGGAATTGCTAATGTTAATTTCTCTAATATTTGTATTAAAACTGTGCATTATAAAGAATTGAGTAGCTGTGAGATGAATAGTGAGACATGAAAAGTGAAATGATGATGTGTAATATTATGTTTTCACAGAAAATGAAGATGCAGTATAACTTCTGAGTCATTCATGGAGGCACTTGGAAAACACCAAATGCAATACAGGTCAAGTCCCAAACTTCGAATTCTTGGTAGAAATTATCCTAACTGAAAATATGAGAAAAGTACTTAATGGAGTTTACTTAAAATTAGAGTGTACTTAAAGGGAAAGAAAGACGGTGAAGAGATAGCAGGGCTATCTCTGAAGTTTATGTCTGCTAAATATTAAAACAATCATGCTGTCTCAGGTGTAGAAATTTCAATCTTTTCATATACACAGCAAAGCAATTTCCTAAGAAAGGATTTCAGGAAGACATGCCTCACCTGGTCCACATGCTCTTCTGCGTTTCTGCAATGCTAATCCACATGGTGTATACCTAAAGATTTCCTGAAAGAAAAGAGTCACACTGGGATGTCAAAACAATGCTCCCATTAAAGAACAATGACAGACTATTCAGCAAATGAACTTTAATTCTTACAAAGTAAGAAGAAGAGACATTTATACAAGCATCCTTCATGTCTACTATTCCCAAAATAAAAAAGAAGCATAGCAGAGCAGACTGCATTGGCACATACAGCTACAGGGTGTGAAATGTGGATGATGAATCCTTCTGTCAGTACACCATTCTCTTGCTCTCACAGCCCAGTTGTCTTTGACTAACACAAATTTTGTTTGTAGTTTAAAAGGTATTTTCTTGAATGAAATAGTCACCAATATTTACCAATCAATTATCATATTTGAAGATACTGATTTCTTATCTATACGTATCTATAGCTGTCAGCATGTATATATGAACATGTATAGTATAAATTCTTATGCAGATACACAGGTGTGTATGTATATTATTTCTTAGTTGTTTGCCTATAAAAAAAATCAAAAGCCTGATTTAAAAAAAGAAAAGAAAAAGGTGAATTCAAGTTTCTCTGTATGCCTCAGAGGGAAAGCTTTTGTGCACTATTCCATTTTCCTTTAAAACTGCCCTGGTCAGAGTGTGTGTATATGTGCATGTGCGTGTGCTTGTGTGTGTGTGAGAGAGAGAGAGAGAGAGAGACAGAGACAGAGACAGAGACTGAGACAACAGACAGAGACAGAGACAGACAGACAGAGACAGAGAGGGGAAGGAGATGTGCATGGTACCTAACCCACCTACACACACACACACACACACACACACACACACACACACACACACACCAGCTTATGGAGCCAGGAGAACACAGGTAGATGTTGGATCCCTCCCTTCTGTTGTGGTATTGTGAATGCCACAGACCACAGAAGTCCAGGAAATGAGAAATCTGCCATCCATGTGGAATGGAAAGTTTTAGGAGGTTGAGGATGTGGACAGTGGACAGTTGGTGCCTGACATAGAGGCTCAGAGTGATTTTCAGGTTTACTTGTTTATTTTTTCTTTAAAAGGAAAAAAAATAAGAAAAAGAACAACAAAGCTGCTAATCTATTTTGACAGGCTAAGCACCAGGGATTCTTCTGTTTCTTTTAGATATTTATGATAATTTGTACTGAAGATTTTTAAACATATCTTCAGAGGCCATAGTAGAACTAGAAACAGGCAAATGTTGTGCTTATTTGAGAGTTTTTATTTACACATGAAGGAGACACAATTTGGGTAGTTTGCCTTAATTTTGGACTGGGATTTCAGTGTTCTTGGGGGACAGAGAAGAAAGTCCTTTTGATTATAAGTCTGTGCAAGGAGAAAGAGAAAGAGGGAAGCTTGCTCCATGGAGTCCCTCCTTCAAAGGCTGTCTGGGAAACTTTATGTTTGTTCAAGTGAGTTTCAAAACTGCAAGTTTTAGATCTGTGAATTTTAGACAAAATGGTGTTTCTTTTGTGAACTTGAGTGCCCCATGTGTGTTTAAAGTTGTAATACCTTTATGATGAATTCTCCCTTTAATTAGTATGAAGTATCATTCTCTATCTCTTCTGAGTAGTTTTGGTTTAAAATTTATTTTGTCAAATATTATATTACTATGCCTGCTTGCTTCATAGTTCCATTAGCTTGAAATACCTGTTTTTTTCATTAAAGGAGATGTTTGTCCTTAATGGTGAGGTGTGTTTCTTAGAGGCAGCAAAAAGATGGATTCTGTGTCCTAATGGAAGCTGTTAGTCTTTGTCATCTAACTAGTGAATTTTGACTGTAAATATTGAGGGTTTTTAATTGGACAATATTTATTAATTCCTGATATTATATTGTTTTGGCATTGTTTTCTTAAACTTCTTTTTGGTTAACTATTTTGTGATTATTATTCCTTATGATCTCTAAGGTGTGTTGAATTTTCTTTCAGACTGAAACATTACCTTTAGAATCATCTATAAATCCAGCTTGGTGAAATAAGTAACTTAAATCTATTTTTATCATGGCATATTTTTCTGTCTCATTCAACTGCACCTGACAGTTTTTCTGGGTATAGTATCTGGGCTGGCATCTGTAGTTTTTCAGAAATTGTAGAACACCAGTCCAGGCCCTTATGGTTCTCAAAGTCTTTTATGAAAAGCAAGTATTATTCTCATGGTCCTGCCTTTATATGTCATTTGGCCCTTCTGTCTTGTATTTTTCAGTACGCTTTCTTTGTTCTGTACAGGCAAAAGCACCAAGGATCCTTCACATAGAGTCCTTTTTTTCTGGTCCTATGTCTTTGGTGTTTTGTATGCCTCTTGATATATATCTATTTCCCTGGACTTGGGTAATTTTCTTCTATGATTTTGTTGAAAATATTCTTGTGTCTTTTACTTGAGTTTCCTGTCCCGCTTCTATTAATAACTTTGGACTTTCATTGTTTCCTTATCTCTCATTCTACAAAAAACAAAACAAAACAAAAAAACCCTCAACTCTAAATGAGCCAAGGACCTCAACATAGGACCTTATACTCTGAATCTGACAGAAGTGAAAGTAAAGAATACATTTTAATTTATCATCACAGAAAATGACTTTTTGAAAGGGACTGTGATAGCACAGGCACTAAGACCAACAATTGACAAATGGGACCCCATGAAACTGAAAATCTTCTGTAGAACAAAGGACGCCACCATTCGGGAGAAGAGGAAGCCTGCAGAATGGGAAAAGATTCTTTACCAAGTATATATCCAATTAATGCATGGAGCATAGAATTAAGTAGGGAGTTCTAAAAGATGAAAAATAAATGTCTGAGAAACACTTTTAAAGTATTCAACATCCTTAGCAATCAGAGAGATTCAAATAAAACTACTCTGAGAATTTATTCTATATCAGTAATAATTGACAAGATAAACAATAAACAAATGACAGCAGATGCAAGTAAGGATTCAGGAAAAAAGGAATGTTCATTCATTCCTCGTGAGAGTGCTAACTGGTGCAACTAGTATGGAAAACAGTGCAGAGGTTCCTTTAAAAAAGCTGGGGATATATCTATCCCAAGTATCATCTATACCATTCTTGGCAATTTACCCAAAGGACTCTAAATCCTACTATAGAGATAGTTGCTCATCCATGTTTATTTCTCCTGTATTTATAACAGCCAGGAAATAGAAGCAACCTAGATGTCCATCAACTGATGAATGGACAATGAAAATGTGGTGCATTTATGAAATGGAATGTTATTCAGCAGTTAAGAATAATTAAATTATGAAAATTGCAGGTAAATGATTGGAGCTAGAAAATAAATCATCTTGAGTGAAGTAACCCAATCCCAAAAAAGACAAACATTACATGCTTCCTTTTATATGTAGATGTTAGCTTTTAATCTTTAGATATGTGTGTTTCATTTGGTATACCCATAGAGGTTAAGAAACTAGAAAGGGACCACAGGGGAGGAGAGGAACTTTTAAGCAGTGGGAGATAAAATGTAGTGTTATAAAGGGGGAGAGGAAAATTGGAATAAGAAGGATTAGAGGGAATTATTGGTGGAAGGGCAGGGTGGGGGGATATGAGAAGGGAAGGCTAACACTAAAAACCTTTTTTAAAAGCTATATTGACTCTTATTTCTTGTTCTCCCTTTCTGTTCTTGATCCAGTTGGGATCTCCCTCTCCCCTAAGCTCACTTTCCTTCAAACCTTGCCCTTCATTACTCCCACTCATGTCCAGGTTGTTCATGTAGATCTCATCTATTTCTCTGTCATTGTGTGATTCCTGTGTCTTTCTTAGGGTCCTGTTTTCTAGGTAGCCTCCCTGGAGTTGTGAGTAGCAGTCTAATCATCTTTGTTTTACATCTAGTATCTTCCTATGAGTGAGTACATACCATGTTTGTCTTTCTGAGTCTGGGTTACCTCACTCAGGATGATTTTTTCTAGATCCATCTATTTGCCTGCAAACCTCATGATGTCATTACTTTTCCCTGCTGAGTAGTATTCCATTGTATATGTGTATATGTACCACATTTTATTTATCCATTCTTCAGTTGAAGGGCATCTAGGTTGTTTCCAGGTTCTGGCTATTACAAACAATGCTGATATGAACATAGCTGAGCAATTACCCTTGTGGTATGATTGAGCATTCCTTGGTTGCATACCCAAGAGTGGTATAGCTGGATCTTGGGGGAGATTGATTTCCAATTTTCTGAGATAGCACCATATTGATTTTCAAAGTGGTTGTACAAGCTTGCATTCCCACCAGCAGTGGAGGAGAGTTCCCCTAGCTCTACAACAATGATAAATAAAGACCACATGAGAATAGGAAGAAGAAAAGTGCTAGAGAGGTCCACAGAAATCCACAAAGATACCTCCACAATAGACTACTGGCAATGGGTGAGAGAAAGCCCGAATTGACCTACTCTGTTGATAGAATGACCAAACACCCTAATTGTCATGCTAGAAATCTCATCCAATGACTGAGGCCACTGGATGCAGAGATCCATGGCTAGGCCCCAGGTGGGGCTCCAGGAGTCCAATTGGCAAGAAAGAGGAGGGTTTGTATGAGTGAGAATTGTTGAGACCAAGATTGGAAAAAGAACAGGGACAAATAGCCAAAGGAATGGAAACACATGAATTATGAACCAATAGCTGAGGAGCCCCCAATTGGATCAGGCCCTCTGGATAAGTGAGACAGTTGATTAATTTGAACTGTTTGGGAGGCATCCAGACATGTCCTCAGTGCATGAGCTGGCTGTTTGGAACCTGGGGCTTATGCAGGGACACTTAGCTCAGCCTGGGAGGAGGGTACTGGACCTGCCTGAACTGAATCTACCAGGTTGAACTCAATCCCCAGGGGAGTCTTGGCCCTGGAGGAGATGGGAATGGGGGGTATGCTGGGGGGGAGGTGGGGTGGGAAGGGGGAGGAAAGGGGAATCCGTAGCTGATATGTAAAATTAAATTAAATTATAAAATAAAATTATTAAAAAAGCTGTATTGAAACCTACTACAGTAGAATATTCCTAATATAAATATATATAAAAAAGTTA